CTTGTTTTCCCTCTACCCATTGCATAAACAGGATGAATATAAGAATACTGGACTCATTGACCACTTTCTGTGTGCTGCCCTGCCTTGATAATAGTCCAGTGTATTGTAATGTCCCTCAATACTCCCCTGCCTTTGTTGTCTCTGAGATATCTTACTGAGGAAAGAAAATTCTGAATTCTTTTATACAGAGCATTTGCAAACACAGTGCTGCCAAATTCTTACAGTGCTATGCCAATAAAAACAGTCTTGGTTTTTTATTAGTTATTTACCTGAAGAGAGAGATTTTCCACCTTGAGTATTAGATTGTTGGTTTGCATTTTTATTTGCTCTGAAGTAGTCATATATTCAGGGAAATAAATGCATAATTTCTAAACCAGGACTGTAATTATAGGTAATGAACTGTAGAAGAGCTAAAGGAAAAGAATGAGAAATCAAGATGCTTTCTGTACATTTTTGAATTAATATTTTTTAATCTCAAATTGATCAATCTTAAATTATTGTTAACATACCTACAGTTGATTTTGCACTGAGAAAAGGACCTAATTCACCAATTGAGGCCTTCATGGTTTCCTGAAATTCCTTTTTAACTTCATTTTCTCTGCTCCAAATATTAAGGTTTGACTTGGCAAAGAATTCATGGCTTAGTGTCTTGAAAGAGAACTCCAAAATTTCTGAGATAAATAAACTGCCTATCCTTTAGGAAGTCCTAAAATAACTACATATATTAATTAAAATATGCTTAATGAAGCTAAACATTAAAAAAAATCATCACACTCAAAACACAGGATACAAAATGGAGTATTCTATTTTAATAGATTAAAAATTATTTACATATCAATTCCTGTATTATTTTAATGATGCTTTTTGATATTGTGCCCAATGAAATCACTGTCTTTCACTGCCTTTCAAAGAAGAAGTAGAAGAAATGGAATAACAATTTGCCAGTATTTGCTGGAAAAGGGTTGCCAGGCAGTAGAAAAGCTCCTGGTGCCTTTTTGGTATCAGTAGACTTTCCAGTAAAACTACACGACCAGAACTAAATATCAGTCTGCCATGCTTAATAAGTGCTTTTCCAATGACACTTGTAGCACTAGATAAGCTCTTCTAAATTTTTTTGCTCCTAACTATTTTTCTATACAAACATTTCTGCCATCATCATCATTCAGAACCACTTCTAGCTATGCAGTTGTGGAGGAAATCCCCCTACTCAGCCCTTTTACAACACTGATTTATTGCACTGCAGTGGTGTTTTGGGTTAACACTGGTGAGCAGCTAAGCACCTCACAGTTCTTTGTTTACTTTCCCCCTTTTCCCCTTTCCCCAGTGGGATGGGGAAGAGGAACAAAAGAATAAAAGCAGAAAAACTTGTGAGTCAAGATAAAGAAAAGTTTAATAACTGAAGGATAAATAGAAGAAGAAGAAAGAAAAGAAGAAAATGATCCAGAACAAGTGATATAAAGTCAACACTCAACACACAACCTACTCCAGTGGGTAGAATGATGATCAACCAGTTCCTGAACAAAAGATGGCTACTTCCTCTAAACCCCTCTCTCTTTTAATTATTAAGCATGATGCTACATATTATAGAATATCTCTGGTGAATTCAGGCTCTCTGCTCAGTTGTGTCCATTCCCAATCCATTGTGCACCTCCCCAGTCTATTCATTTGAGGGCTGAGAGAGAAACAGGCCTTGGTGCTGAGGTAGACCATTAGTGTGGTACCAGCATTTGGGTCAAAACCCTAAACCACAGCACCATATGAGCTGCTATGAAAAAAATGGACTCCATCTTAGAGCCATTAAAATGGGGCCAAACATTTCAATGTTTCATCTAGGAGTGACATTTAGCTGTGGAAAAGGAGTCAAAACTGCTTGTAGTGAACTAATTGATAAAGTAGAATATGCAAATTTCTGAATCACATATAAGTATCCTTAGGAAAGAGAACAAGAAAATGACCATAGAATTTAGGTTGCTCTGTGTTTTGTTATCCACTTTAAATTGTCTCTTTTTCCACACACCCTGAAAAAATGTCTGTGTTTCATTTTCACAATGCTAAGTGCAAAACCTCATACTTTTGTATGGTGTTTTTTGTATTATTGCAACCTGGTGTTTGGGAAGAAGAGAGATTGAAGCAAATTGAATCAGTTGATGTGAAAGAACTACTGAATTTGCAGAAATTCTATTACACAGCAATTCTCTGTGCCATTGGGTGTGTTAGTCTCTGAGGATACTTTCTATAGCATAGAGTATACTAACAGCATATGAAAAAGCCGTTGGATGGAAAATGTTAGTGAAACACAATGAATTCTAGAGCTTTTTTTATTAATGCTTGTGGGCTGTTTTTATAGTGCTAACACAGACTTTTGACTAGTAATGGTAGGTTCAGGCCCTTACTCATTACTGCAACCAGTTACCCACCCTGAAAATCACAAACAGGGGTCTCAGGGCTAACTGCACAGCCAGAAATCTTTCAGGTATTACAAAATCAATGACAGTAGCAAGCAGTTGCATCTGTTAGACTGGATATGAAGCAGTATAGAATGCATGTAGCCTAAATCATCCATTTCCATGAAATACACTGGCTTTCAAAAGACCATGTATAGGATCAGTCATCAATCATTTCAGAAAATTTCCTTCCTTTCCTGAGTCTTCAGTTTCATATAGCTGAAAAAAAGAGACCTATTTTCAAGGTTTTTATACTCTTACATGGAACTGGTAGTCTAATCCTATGAAACATAAATAATTAGATGAAGAGAGGAAATCAAAGGAAAAACAAACTGTAAGCAAATTAAATAGGAGTGGTTAGTAGTCTGCATCCTACCTAGAGATTGCTGGTTTACTAGCTCTGCTAGCTAACTGCTTAGATTAATTGTAGGTTGACATATTCATTCTAGACAGGCAAATTTTTCCTTTTAACCACAATTCTTTTCGTATTTTGCCCTCCTTCCCCATATGCCATAGAAAAAAATATATTCTGAGTCTCTCTCTCTCCCTGTGACATCTTCATTGCTGCTTCATTAACCAGTGCACCATCAGTGCATTTTATTACAGCTTCTCTCCTGGCCTACTGTGTTATTGCTAAGATGCAGCTATGAACTGGCTATCAAAATCCTAGTCCATGTTTTAATCCTTCTGTCCATTCAAAAGAGTGGAAAGCTGTCTCTTTGTCAAAATCCTGAATTAAATCCATATTTTATCTATTATCCTTACTGGCCCGACATGAAATAGATTGGGCAGGTATAGTGTAGGATGTGACAGATTTATTTACCTATTTATTTGCTCTAAAAGGCTGGGGGCATATCTCCTGTATGATCAGTGTATTAAGACAATTTAGACTGATTTTCTCTATGTGCCTTCAAATGACCTTGGAAAACTACTGAAGTTAATGAAAGTGTGTTTCAATTTCATGATTGTTAAGAAATGAAAAGGCCATGCTGTGATAGATATCCTCTGTGACATATACCTCCAGTTGTACCAGTAGGGAGGGGACATGATTTAAATACTTTCTGGTTTCCAGTGGGTTTCCTGGGTATGGAATGCACTCAATTCATATTTTACTGGAGAGAAAGATATAACTGCAAGTGTGATAGAAGCACATAAATCAGTGCCAGAACACAGAGGAATAAAACAAGAATATTTGGAATCTCATATATAGCCATGAAAAGGAAAATAAGAAACTTGATGGCCTCTTCAGAGCAGTGCAAATGTTAAAACATTGGGCAGTGTGTGTGGTGCAAATTTTAGGGGGAATGGGGCTACACATGTTGTCAGTCCCTTTCCATCCACCCTGCATGTATTCCACCCCTCCCAGGTACTCTTTGTCAGAGCTCTCTGCCAGTGCTGCACATTAAGACAGCTGTGAGCCTGCATCTGTTCTCTGTTTTCCACTCAATTAAAGCAAAGAGAAAAAAATATAAATAAGACAAATTGCTCTGACAGTAAATTTCGTGAAAAACTATGTCTGAAATATATGATTTTATAGGAACTTGGTGGAAGATTTTCTGTTTTTTTAAAATGTGATTTTGCAGGATTTTTTTATCACTGCTTTTAAATTGGTGCCTCTGTTTTTCTTGTCTTTTTTTTTTTTTTTTTTTAAATTTAAATTGGTGCCTCTGTTTTTCTTGTCTTTTTTTTTTTTTTTTTTTAAATATACAAAAAGCTTTCTGTCTTACAGAGATATCTATTTAATTTGGGGAGGAAATGGTGAAAAAGAAGTGAAGCAAGAGAAGAGAAATGCTCGTCATATTAGATACAGACAAGACAAACCAGTAGTTGATCTATAAGGGATTATTAGAAAAGGCTGTGACTCCTCCTGCATTAACTGATGTGGAGTACACTGTATGTACAGCTGTCAACTCAAAACTCATTAAAATTTTCATTATTCTGTTATTTATACCGTAGTTGTGACTCAAGACCCCAGTGGAGAAAATAGACCAATGAGTATTCATAAAAGGAGTAGGGAAATTGAATTATTATTATTAGATTCATAATGACATAGAATCCAAGCATGGTCAGGCTGGCACCACCAAGGCAGCACCCTGTCAGTGGACTCCAGGGGCAACAAAAATAAATGAATGCATCTTTGATGGTGGAAGGCACAGCAGCCTCGCAGAGTGAACATTCAAGCAAGAACACTTCACTCTGAGATGCCACATACAGCCTGAAGGATGACAAGACTGTGTACTTCAGTTATTGTAGAAATTCATTACACACTCATCACTTGCAGACATCATAAGAGACAAATAATGTGAATGTCTGTGATTAAATCTGAAGGCCAATTTAAAAAAACTGGCAAAGGAGAATTGGGTAATATCTACTCGGAAAGTGGAGGAAAACAGACATTTCTCTTTTGGTTTACTGATTAGAGAGGTACAATTTTATTTCTCAAAAATTATTTATCTATGTTTAAGAAATGTGGTTATTTTGGTCTCAGGTGGAAATGATGGGGTTTGTATCACATAGCTCAATATGTCGTTTCTTTCTTCTTCCCTTCTTTTTCAGGTTACCTGTGCAAATTTAACAAATGGAGGAAAAACAGAACTTCTAAAATCAGGAAGCTCCAAATCCACACTAAAGCACATATGGACAGAAAGTAGCAAAGACTTGTCCATCAGCCGACTGCTGTCACAGACTTTTCGTGGAAAGGAAAATGATACAGATTTGGACCTGCGATACGATGCCCCAGAAACTTATTCTGAGCAAGATCTCTGGGACTGGCTGAGAAACTCCACAGATCTGCAAGAACCTCGGCCCAGAGCAAAGAGACGGCCCATTGTCAAGACTGGGAAATTTAAGAAAATGTTTGGCTGGGGAGATTTTCATTCCAACATCAAGACTGTGAAGCTAAATCTGTTAATAACAGGGAAAATCGTTGACCATGGCAATGGGACGTTTAGTGTTTACTTCAGGCATAACTCCACTGGTCAAGGGAATGTATCTGTGAGCCTAGTGCCCCCTACAAAAATAGTGGAATTTGACTTGGCACAACAGACAGTGATTGATGCCAAAGATTCCAAGTCCTTTAACTGTCGAATCGAGTATGAAAAGGTTGACAAGGCTACCAAGAATACGCTCTGCAACTATGACCCTTCAAAAACCTGTTATCAGGAGCAGACCCAGAGCCACGTGTCATGGCTTTGCTCCAAGCCCTTTAAAGTAATCTGTATTTACATTTCCTTTTATAGTACAGATTATAAACTAGTACAGAAGGTGTGTCCTGATTACAACTACCACAGTGACACACCCTACTTCCCTTCAGGGTGAGGACCAACTTGTGTCTGAGACTGAAGCCTGGGGAATAAAAGAGTTCGAATTACAGGGCTGTAACCTCAAGGAGGAAGGCCACATCTATTGCCTGGAATGTGTCTACCTGCTGCTGCTGATGTCAAATGGCTGCAAATATGTTAGTGGAAAACAATCTAATGTATTTTTTGCCCAGTCAGCTCCATGTATCCATCTAGGTGTAAATCACTATGGATTTGAAATAAAACCATTACACATACACAGAGACACACACACACTTTTCAGTGCACATTATTGAGATTCCTGTTAAGAAATCTTTCATTGTCTGATATCTAAGGATTCAGCATAACCTATCATCAAGCAAAATGGATTAACTAGACAGTACAAGGTTTCTAAGGCAGACTGTTATGGAAATCTCCTTGAAAGTCCTTTGAGTATATGCCAATCAATAATCCCCACTCATGCATTCTACTGCTTGGAGCAGCTGTACTGGTGAATAATACTGTAGGAAAAAGTACTTGTTAAAATGGGAAAAAAGTGTGTTTAGAGTTCAGTATTCTGTATTATATAAGCACAGTAAAGTGTCGTGACTTTTCCCAGCACACAGTAGGCACATTCGAGGTGGTGTTGGTGGCTCTTTTTCCACAGAGCAAGCCTGTTTCTAGTAAAGATGGGCAAACATTTGGAATTTACATGTGAGCAGACATTCTGGTTTAATGTTTCTCTGACTCTTTAAGCTCTGATTCTTTAAACTTGTTTGAGTTTAGGCCAGTTAAACTACTTAAAAACTGGAATTGATCTCTAAGAAGGAAAATGCATAGTGGAGAACATGTAAGTTATAAGTGGCTGTCTTATCTTTATTACAAAATATTGTAACAAATTCAATATCCTAGTCTTCATTTGTATGAATGGTTTGTATTGTACATAATTTAACCAGTGTTATTTGAGCTGCTTATTAATATTAACTTGTAATTGTCTCTCTGCTTGTTATTGTTTAAAACAATCAAAGAAATGAGGAATCCATTTTATCAATGTAGCTGTAAACTCCATTAAAAGACAGAACTATGTACAAAGCATTTATTCAGCTAAAGTATTGTTGAAAGCTATACATATACGACATTACAGTCTGTCTGTATTTAGATATTTTATTTCCAGAGGAAAAAAATGAACTGTACATAAAAATAAAAAATCTTAAAGTTGAGTTTCAATATGTACTGTGTAGATAGTAGTTTAAATAGTTCTGATAAGCGCGTAATGCTCCAAGTCCAATATGATTTTCAATATTGTCTCTTTGCATATGTACATATATAGACATCTATTTATGAATTTGTGTGTGTGCATATTTGTGTGTGTATAAGTACATGTGTGTGTGAGTGTGTGCAAATACATATATATGTTGAATACATAAAACTTTCTTGAGCCCTTTTCCTAGCAAACAGATCTTATTACTGAAGGTCTTGCTAGTTCAAGCAGAAGCCCCCACTCCGATAAGAAATTACAGATGCAGGGCTTTGTTTAAAATGAGTCATTATAATTTAGAAGTGGGAACACATAGAGCCACTCTCTGTGTACAAAGGCCTGTCTTTGCCTTAATTTTAGCCTCCTGTGAGGTACTGATCTCTATAGAATGAAGAGATCCCTTTTTATGGTACTAGGGAATTTTCTTCCTGTAAGAAAAAGCTCATAGCTTTTTTATATATATATTTTGTGGATAGTGGCATACTTTACCCCCAACATCCAGAAAACCAGCAACAGTAAGAAGTCCTTGCCTAAAAGAAGGCTTCCCAAAGAACTCAGTATTTCATATAATGTCTTTCAGAATTATCATTCCTGGAAATGTTTTCTTTCCCCTTCCACCCTTGCCTTCATATTCTGTGCTCTTGGGTCACAGCTGCAAATGCAAATATGGGTCAGCTTCCAGCTATGTGCAGCATTATGAACAACTTTTCCAAAATCCCAATAAACACTCCACTAGTGCTTCAAGAACAGAAAAGTTCAAAACAACTACCAGTTGAGGACCTCTTTTGCTGAAATGTGCAGAACATAAATGAAAATAGAACAAAGAAAATGGATAATGTTATTGAAAGTAAATGTTTTCCCAATGATGTACCAGTAGGAGACTTTCATATTATTATTGCTTTGGCTTCTTTGAATAGATATGCTTGTGGTTATTTCCTCATTATGTATGACATTTCCCAGGACAAAACTGTGACCCCAGACCATGTCTAGATTTGGAGAAAGAAATTTTCCAAACCATGTAGTCCATATTCTGATCTTATTCAGGAATATGCTGACACATAAATTTTGTTTTCTTTTGACAGGGATCATGATTAAAGTGGTAGTGTTTATCCCTTGTGCTCTATTAAAAGTAATTGTTATGAATACAAACCATAAATTACTTTGTGTTGTTGCCAATAATTATATCTTGGGTCTATTAAATCAATGGGAATTTTGCTATTGATTTCAAAAAGTTCCATTTAATAGTATGTAGAAATCCGGTGTTAAATATGATTAACAATCTTAGCAATCTGTATTACAATTGAGCACTATATGGTTCATTTATATTCCTGGGAAATGGACGTGAAATACTATTGCTGGTACAATTTCATTATTTTCTATATTTTTTAAAACTTCTCATAAGTATATGAAACATATACATTCTATTAATATATAAATATTTGTCCACTTTTCAGGTAGCATCCATACAAAAAGGAACTATTCATGATGCAATGTTTGATCCTATTAATTGTGGTTGTTGGCATTTTATCTGCCTCTGTCACAGTCATTCATACTACTAATTAGTCTTAAGCCTTTGAAGAATTTGCTATTCTTCATAAGCATTGTTGAGTTTGAAGTTGAAAGAGTTCTTTTGGTGATTGAGTTGTAAAACAGTGATTTAATACTGGAATAGATAATTTATAACTTAGGTGCTCATTCATTGCATTTTATTCAATCTATATGGGAAATATTTTGTGTTTACTAACTTTGTTAAAGAATGTTTTTGTTTTGTCATTTGGAAAAGGATTTTAATTAACATGAATGTGTTAAGTCAGTTAAACAATGTATGTATGAGTGTCTGGGTCTTGCACACGAACAATGCCTTAATGGAGTGCTAGGCCAGGTAAATGTTGCCACAGTATAACTCACTAATTCTAGGAGTAATAAAGATGTATATCTCTAAAGGTATATTTTTAGGATTAAAGAAGACTAAGTTACTTATTTTTAAGAAGTGAAGAGACTGTTTCTGTTCACCTTTTTTTTTTTTTAACTTTTAAGTCATGCTTTGGCTCTTATTTTCACTTCATAGAGAATCACAGATAGAGATATTTTATTGGAATAAATTATTTCTGGTGGAAAAATACATGGATCATGCACTTGAGCAAGTATCAGCATATTAAAATTGCATTGCATGGATCAGTGATATTATTTATGTGTTCAGTTCCTGTGCTTTTTAAAAAGGACTCCAAGATCTAGGAAATGGGTGGTTTGCAAAAAAACCTGCAAAAATCACTGATCAAAGTTTTAAAATGTGGTGGGGACATGTAAGTCTTTCACTTGTTAATTTTATCAAAATATTTCAGCCTGGGGCAGAAAATATACTGTCTTCTCTCCTAATGAAATCACTTGTAAACTTTTATCCCTTTCTCCCTTCTTCCTCTTACACTGATAGTAAGCAAACTAATAAATTCATCTTTACACATTGTTTTTCAAAGTTTGCCCTTACTTAAAAAGTAATGATGTCAGAAAACATTGAAAATTACTGTAGTAACTTACAGTAAACTTATAAATATTCAAACTCCACTTATAGGAGAACAGAATGAAAGTTTTGTAGTGTTCTGATACATGTTAGCACAGAAATTTAAATAATACTATTCAAGTCATTTGGTCGGAGGGCAGTTTAACTATGATTAAATCATGACATCCTCATGAGTTCTGAATGCTGTGCTGTAAATTGCAATTCTAGTAGAATATCATAAACTGCTCTGAAAATTATGTGTTAGAGAATTGTGGAAGAAAATGGATTAAAAAATATCTGTGAAGCTTACAGTAAAACCTAAAGTGTAGACAACTGATCTGAAAAATTTTTCTTCAACAGAAGACAATGAACCTCAGTCTTGGCATCTTGTAGGTCCTCCTCTTGTCCTTCCATGGCAGAGGTAGTAAAATTGAATCTGACTGCATCTAATAAAGGAAGAGCAGCTTTTCTCCAGTGATTTGCACTTAACTGAATGTCTTAGGACTGCTGGAGACCTCAAATGGCTGCATCAAGGATCTGTTGTGCTAGGAGCTGCATAATATATAATGTATAAAATATCTATTTGGGAATGGTTTGGATGCCAAGAAGTCCTAATTTCCAAGACAGTGTACAGCAGAATTTTTATAAATAATATTTCCATTATTTTTCTTTTTTTTTTAATGGTCAGTATCTTACTAAAATATGATAAAATTTGAAGATTAAATAATTTTCTGGATTAATTTGACAAAATAAATATCTATGGATATGGTTTACACCTTTTACTGCTTGTAAGAGGAACACTCATTAAAAATAAACTGTCATATGTAAATATGAAATAAATTTTGGGACTGTGGGAATATTGTATTTCCTTGAGTAGTATACACCTGACAATATGATCAAATACTTGTAACATTTCTCCAAAAACATTGATCCATCTTGTAGTTAAAAATTACATTTTCTCATTGTTTCCTGTATTTTGTACTAGCAAGCAGATTACTTTGTTTTATACAGGAGTATTTTCTCATTGGAGAATATCTATACAATTTTTTAATTCTGTTTGAGGGACACAGCTGGTGAATCTCTGCTTGTGCTTGGACTGATGTCCTGTATATGACATACATAATTTTGAATCCTTTACCTTAGTTTGCCTTTGGGATAAAGAAGCAATGTACTTTTTGTAGCAGCTTTAGATCAGGAGCAAGCCAATGACTCACTTGAACTTTAATTCTAAGAGAGTTATATTCCCATTGTCAAAGAAGGAATTTGAGAAGACAAAGCATGTTTGGGATTTATTCCTAGTTCAAGCTGTACCTCAGTCATGTATCTAGTAGTGATATTGCTATGAGGGAAGGCTTAAGTGGTGTGTGAAATGACTTCTGCCTGTTGTTAGTAAGAAACTAGAGGGACCAAAAGAAAATTTATAAGTTTGATGCCGTTCATACACATCAGCGAAGAGGTGGCAATTAGCCATTTCAAAAAGTAAATCATTATTTTATGAAAGGACTACTGAGTTTCTGGGAAAAGCTCAATGTACTTGCAGATCTGTTCATCACAGAAAATAAATAAAACCAGACTTGGCAAAGGCATGAATAACATAAGATCTTTAGTTCCTCATCTAGGTCGCAGAAAATCTGGAATGAGATGCAAAAGCCTACTTAGGAACAGGTAACCTAAGGAAAATTTGAGATCACTTATGGAATGTAAATGAAAATTCATACTAATTGTTCCAGTATTCAATAGCTGTTGTTAAATTTATTATGACATATTTATGAAGCATTTTACAATTTCTTTCATGAAAGCAAAGCATTTTGATTAGTCATAGAGTGGAAATAAAGATGGAATTTTCTGCAAGGAAATTTCTACAATTGCAACATACTTCTTCCAGAGGTAAATAATTTTAACTCCTTTCAACTGGCTGCATACGGAGTCCAGAGTTGTGATTGCTGCTAGTGAACAAACCAGCAATAATAGAACTTGAAAGGCAGGGGCCATGGTGATCTTGGGTTCATTGTGTGTTAATTTTGTTCTGTTTGTCTGTTTCTGGTTTTGTGTTTGTATTTTTTGTAAATCTAGAAGCATAAGAAATGCACTTATTTAGCTGTGGTTCACTTTAACGTTCTAAGTGTGGAGGTCAGTCATAAACTCTGTGAAACAAGTGGATAAATAGCTGCATAGGTGCTCTAGTCTCTATTTTGCTAATGACCTGTAGGTCATGTCCAGTTAATAAGGTGGACAGACACTAACAACACAGCTTGTGTATCAAATGAATTCCCAAATGAATCTTCCCTGACTTGAGAAAAACTTATTGAAACCATTAGCTGATGAATTTCAGTAAGTTAGCTGTAGCCCTTCAGAAAATCGGAGTAATACTCACAAATTTTGAACTGTATTTTTCTCAAGATCTCATCCATATTTTCCAGTACCATCCCATTTCATGGAATTATATCTCCTCTGCATAACAGAGGCTTACCATTTCTTTAATCAAAGGTATTACTCTGCGAAATGCTTTAGCAAGTAATCTCCCATTTTTCAATTAGGTATTTTTTCCTAAAACTTCTTGTACTATTCTACAAATGTTGAGCAAGTTTCTACTTTTTACCCTGCAGACTATGGTGTTACTGAATTTCCCCTCCCAAAAGAAGACTTCTTCCTACAGAGGTAAAAGCATCCCTTTCATTTATTCACTGGAATCACACAACTTTGCCCAATTTACTTCCTTTTGTTAATTGTACAAGTATTACCTGCAAAATTGCTTTTAATTAACCACTCCAAAAGAACTGTGTTGGTGTTTTCAGAGCAACTCCCATATCATCAGACTCTAATACAGTTAAAGTCTACAAAATGAATGCAATATTTTACATGGAATTCCAGTGATAAAGGGTCTCATCACCTTTCTCTAATGAAATTCCTTCATATTCATAGTTACAGTGGTTTCTCTCAGGTCCCAAACTGCAAAAAATTACTGCTAATGAGCTCTCCACTCTTATTTCTATTAGAAGCAAGTCTTAATTATACTTATTTCCAGTGTTCCTTCTCATTTGAGTTTTGAAGTAGTAGTCTTCAGATGTATTCATGACTACTCTATGCAAATCTACCTCTTTAGACCCATTTTTAATACATTTCTAACTTCACAGATGGAGGAATTGCATATGAACTTCATTAGCACATTACATAGACTTCCACCTAACTGCTGTGATGTCATAAAGATAGGAAATATTTTATTGTTCTTTTCTGATTGATTTCTGGCCTGCCTTCTTCCCTGTTTGGTGTGTTTTTTTAACTCTGATTTGAAGTCCATTTGTCTACTTCAGATCATATGTGAGTAGTGCTCACTGATGTGTTTGCACATAGGAAGGGATGAAATACATAATTGTTTTTTCTATTAAAAATTGATCAAATGAGGTGATTGTGTAAACTAATTTAGAAATACTAAGTAACAAGGGATTGTCGTAACTAATCCTCAGGTAAAGATTTACGTATGCCATAAAAAAAAGAGTTCTTTATTCATAGGACTGGGAACTAATGTAAAAAAAGTTATGCCTGTGTCTAAATATCACTAAAGGCAAAGTGATTAGCTTCATGGTAGAACAAACCAGTAATAAAATTTCATATCATTCCTAGGAAATACACGTAATTTCCATTTAGTTTCTGCTATTTCTTGCATCTTTCTAGGTAGAAGGCTAATATACAATTGTAATTGCTAGCCTGTAGGCCTATTCTATTCCATTCACTTTGTCTTATTCTCCCCCAAATATGATTAACATTTTAGAAAACTTTCACATTGGATTCCTTTTGCTACTCTTACGTGATTTAGACCATCTTATGGCTAGTTACCAAAAGAAAGCAACTAACTTTAAGTAACTGTATTCTCCCTTTTGACCTTTTGAATTTGTAAATTTCCAGAACTTTTAGGTTATCCAGTTAGTATACTTTATATTTACTCTTCACTCTTTTTCTAGCAGGTACTGATTTTTGGTTTCTCAGTTTAAGATAATTTCTATTTGCTATCTTTGTGGAATAGAAATGCAGCCAACTTAGAAGTTATTTATTAGTCTAGCTGGGTCCTAATATATGGTGGGTTAAATCCATCATAACATGCAAGTTGTAATTTCAGCATAGAACAAACACATTCAGTAATGAAAATTATATATGGATAACTAAGAGGCACTTAGAATGACAGTTAAGTAAGCAAATTCAAATTAATAATAAAAGAACACATATAAATATAAACATAATTTGCATATATTATAATTTGCATATTTATTTCTCTTTTTAACTATGAGAAATATATCACTAAGATTTCTTCTTACAGAAAGCAAAGATGAGGAAGATTAATTAGATGAGAAACTGAAAAATAAGTGGTAAATAATCAGATATAAAATTAGAGCCCCATTGACTTCTTGTCAGGTTTCACTCAATAGGTGCTGCTGCCCCATAGCAAATTGCAAATAATATATTTGAGCCAAGTACACACCACTAGGTCTACATTTTAGTAAGGCTGCTATAGGTCTAAAAAGAAATGAAAGGGAATTGCAAAGCTGTTTACTTCTGAGCTCCTCTCCAGGGAAAGTTTCAAGAATGTTTAGACCACATGGAAAGATGTTTGTCTGTGAATAGTTTTTAGGACCCTCCTGTGTCCTTAATTATTTATTCTTTCTAGGTAAATTATCTTCAAACTCAGTTGTTCTCAAACTCTATGTTCTTGTACCTTTTCTTCAAAGAAAGTTAATTATTATCACTTTCTCAATGCTGTTCTTGCACTCATTCCTAGAACATGTCATGATGTTAGAGAGCAATGGACCCATTTACCCTTGTTTCCAGTGTTGCCCTGCTCTTGTACCCCTCAGGATGGTATACACCAACACTTGAAGGTATGGAAAATCACAATTGCAAATGAAACAATTATTTCCTTCCAAGTCTTCTTGGACTGAAAAAAAAAAATCAGGAAGTTCTCTTAACGTGCCCCTTTAATGTCTTTGAAAATTGTTACCATACTCAGCCATCAGTCCTAGTTTTTCTGGATTTAGCAATCCTTGTTCTTATAGCATGTTTGACTGCATTTTCCTGACTACTCTAAAAACTGCCTACCTTTGAAGTGGAACTCCAAAGAAAGCAGACTATTCTGGCTTATGTATTGCCAACAGTGAGAAAAGCAGAATGTGAATAATTCTCTTCTGTTCCTTTTTATGTATCTGTAACAGTGTTCTATGTAATACCAATATCTTAGTTATTTATCATTATTTGTCATTGACTATGCTGGCTGTGCTGACTACAACCTGCTTAAGCAGTAATATTCCACATTTTCTATTTGCGGATTTGATTTTTTTTCTGCCTATGGTAGAATTTAAACTACCAAATTTCAGTAAGATAGGGTATAAATTTACAGCACACTAGCTTCTCCATGCCAGATTCCCTTGTGGATACTTGTAGCCTGCACTAATGCTGTCTCTGTGCAGAATGTGAAGTAGAAGACATCACAGAGAGCTATACTTACTGCTTAGCAAAGTGTCAGCATGAAAAGTTAGTATGCAGCAGCAAGTGTACTGTAAATTCATGCTTTAGTTTGCTGTACTAATCTGTTTGTGCAGACAAGCCCCAAGTGTAGTACTCTGCACTTGTCTCTATTGAATTTCTTGTTATTGATTTCAGACCAATCCCCCCATTTATCAAGATAACTTTGGTATTCAATAAAGGACTTCTCTCCTCCCTCTATTTTTTTTTTTTCCACAGTTACAGCAACTCTTCATAGTCTTTGTAGTCTTTAATGATATTGTAAATCATTGCAAGATGGCACATGTGGAGTCTTAACTTTGTGAGAGTAACCAAGCTGGCATTTTTACACTTACAGTTTTTAGAC